GATCTCGGCTCTGCCTCCTGGGTGCAAGTGATTCTTGTGCCTCAGTCTCCTGAGTAGCTGGGATTATAGGTATGTACCACCATGCCTAGCTAATTTTGTATTTTTAGTAGAGATGGGGTTTTACCACGTTGGCCAGGTTGGTCTTGAGCTCCTACCCTCAGGTGATCCTCCTGCCTCAGCCTCCCAAAGAACCACCATGCCTGGCTTGACCTGTTTTCCCTTTTTAACTCTGATCCCAAAGCTCCCTTCTACTTCCATAGCCCACACACACCTTACACTCATTTATCCTAAACAGAGCTTGTCTTTCTCTCACTGGCCCATTCTTCCACTTGAATGCCACATCTTAGCTCATAGTCACGCATCCCATCACCCACACCAGAGACTGAGCCACCCCTGGCCCCTGCCTTCTGTCCAGTGTATCTCATTGACCCTCTCCTCTGGTGGGTTCTAACGCTTTGGTGTCTTGAGGCTTCATCCCCTCTTCCCTGTTCCTCCCTACTCCTCAGTTTCTATAGTAATTTAGATCCTCTTCTCTTTCCTTAAGAATGGCCAGTGGAACAAATCAGGCCTCCAAGGCCATCCTCACACAGCTGCCGGGGGCTCTTTTCTGATGCCGTGGTGCCCTCCCCTCTTGGTGACTCCTGCCGGCCCCTCCAGCTTCATGCTCCGACCCTGCTGGACATAGACCATGTGCATCAGGAAACAGCTGGGCCTAACTGCCTTGTGACCCGTGCTCAGGCTGCTGGGCGCCTCTCCAGCTACAGACTCAGCCCCGACCCTGGCCACAGACAGGGCCCTCTTCTCTCTACCTAGACTGCAGCCTACCAACCCCACGTGGTGACTACACGCCAGGCAGACCAGAGTGTGGGTATCTCATTTTACCCACTTCCCACTGGGGACCTCGGACAAGTGACTGTCTCTTGCTAGGCCTTCCTTTCATCATCTACCACATGGGAGGGTAACATAACCTGCCTCCCAGGATGGGTGGTTGGGCCTGGCACTCCGTGAGGGGTGGCACAGGGCACCTGCTGTTGTGATGAATTGCTAGGACCTGGGAGACCGTGCAGAGGGAACAGGGCTCTCCAGCACAGTGTTCCTGTTCTTCCCCTTTCTGGCCATCTGCTCTCCCCACCCAGACGAGGGCTTGGGCAAGGCCACTTCTTCCCCTCTGCAGCATTTCCTCTGAGGACCTTGTGCTGTCCTCACCAGCTGCAGGGTCCAATGTGAGACTCGTTCTCAGCACAGGACAGTGTGGGCTGCCACACTCCTCTCCCTGGCTGCAACTGCAGGGCTTTGCTCAATAAGGCCCCAAAAGTTGCCACGACCACATGGGGACTGAGCCGCTGAGGTGACACAGAGTACACCAGTGGCTTCTAGCTCCAAAGCCCAGATGCTATTCACTCCGCCCTGCTGCTGCCCCTTCTGCCTTTCTGCTGGTATCTGAATGACCTCAGTCTCCTCATCTGCAAAATGGGGATAATAATTGCTTCTCTTGCTTCCTCAACCAGAGGACTGGGAGAACAATGGGGCTGGGCCGGTAAGCTGTGATGAGGTGGATACCTCGCTGTATGGCAGGCAGGCGAGCCTGGCTGGGGCGGGGGATGTGACAGGAGGAGCTAGCTGCAGGGAGACCTCCCCACCCATCCAGCTGCCTCCCATCCCTGGCCAGAGCCGTGTGTCTGAGTCCACAGCGCCCCCTGCTGGCGAGCTGGCCCAGAAGCTCCCTGTGGGCAGCACCAGCCCACACGGCATTTCCCCCTGCAGGGACCACGGGGAAGGAGCAGCCCCTGCCCTCAGGGAGCCCCATGGGGAGGGACGTGTACCCAGGCTTCAGGGATCCCCATGGGGAGAGACGTGTACCCAGGCTTCAGGGAGCCCCATGGGGAGGGACGTGTACCCAGGCCTCAGGGATCCCAAATGGGGCGTGGGGATCCAGTGCTTTTGTCTGAGAAGGCAGTTCCCTAGGCCCAGGAGCGCACCATTCTGCTCTGAGAAACCTGCTGAAATCCTTCTGCGGAGGAAGGTCAACAGCCTGCCAGGGAGCTGGGGGTCCGCTCCAAAACCAGCAGCCACCCCTCGATTAGGGCTGCCGCCACCCGACTCCCATCCCATGTGGACTGTGGGGGGGTGGGGCGGGAACACTGGGCAAAGACAGACCCTGAGAAGTCAGGCCGGTGCGGGCTGGTCAGGTCCTTGACCGGCCCTCGGGCTGGGCCCCCGCTGGCATCAATAGCGGAGCTTCTAGCCGTCCGGAGCCCAGGTGCCTTCCTCCTGCATCGGACCTTTTCTCAGTCAGTGGCTTCATCATCTCAGTTCTACCTTAGCCTGGTTCTGTGTTGGGTGCTGGGGATTCTGGGAGGAGCCAGCCCTTAACTGGCCCTCCAGGATCTCAGATCTGCCGTTATCCCCTCGCCCCACAATCCCCCCTTCCCTCCTTCTTCCTCAGTGTCTTCCCTGCTCCCTGGGCTCTGGGACGTGCTCCGGAAGGAAGGCAGCTGGGGCAAACAGACAGCCCCCCTGGGCCCCCGACTAAAATCCAGCCAGAGGTGGTCATCCTCCGTCCTCTCCCAGATGCTCTCCCAGTCACCCCACATCCTGGGCTCTGCTTACTGTCTTTGAGACTTTCCCCTCAAAATCCCTCCTCCCCCAACTGCCTACATAAGTCCCCAGTGGAATTCCATCTCCTCCAGGTGGCCTCCCTGGCTGGATCTCAGTCTCTGTAGCTCTTCCCAGCTTTAGACTTTTGCAAGATCTCCTGAGACACACTTTGTCCTAGGTACGTTTATCCTATCTGCCTAGATGCTGCACGCCTCAGGAAGGAAGGTCTATGCCACCTCCTTCCTTGCACCCCTGGGAAGACCCACAGGACAGTCCCTACATGTTCATTTAAGTCAGTGATTGTCAACTGGGCACAGTTTCGCCCCAGGGGACATTTGTCAATGTCTAGCGATAATTTTGATAGTCACAACTTGGGGAGGCATCTAGTGGGTGGAGGTCACAGATGCTGTAACATCCTGCAGTGCACAGGCCAGCCCACCTCTAGCCCGATATGCCAGCAGTGCCAGGTTAGAAATCCTGATTGAAATACATTCAGAGATTGAGGTATAAATATAGTGGCCAAGAAGAGGCAATGGCTCAGGCAGGAGCAACATTCACCCCTCTAAAGGAGACAGCGCAGGAGCCTTCCCTCCAAGTGACCGACACAGTCCCAGGTCCCTCCCACGCCCCTTCTGGGCCTGGCAGTGTCTGTCTAAGTGGAGGCCCACCTAGGCTAGAGGAGGAGCCAGGGTCTGTCTAGAGAGTCCATGGGGAAGTGGGCTCTGTGTAGGGAGCTCTTTGGGAACAGGGAGTGGCTTGGCCTCAGTTTACTCATCTGTAAAATGGGGATAGGATGGCTGGCCCCTTCCAGTTTTAATGGTCCAGGGTCCAAAACTGAGTCTCAGATGGGCACAGGTCATTTTTCCCTCTGCTGATGGGTGGGACCCCTCCAGCAGAGCTGAGGGTAGAGTAGTGGCTTTTGGCCCCTTCACCAGATGTGTGGGGCTATTGTGGCTATAATTGCCCTTCCGGGAAACAGCTGTGAGAACAAGAATGCTTTGATAGGTTCCATCAAAGCTTCCTTCATGTCTCCTGGGGACTGACTGGGTGGGGGAGCGTAAAGAACTTCCAGCTGGGAGCAGCTGTCAGCCAGGCCCCCATGCAGAGGTGGAGGCTGCACAGGGTGGTCCCACTTTGGTTGGGGTTAAGAATGTCCCAGAGGCTCGTCACCCTGAGACGGGCCTCTCTGGGGGCTCTTCAGGGGCTGTCTCTGTGTCCTTCTGGGGTGGGCTCAGGTGACCGCAGGGCTCTTGGCTGCAGAGCGGAGGTGGCACTCTCCCGGTATGAATACCTCTTGTACCATGAGGGGCCTGGCTCTGGTTCCCTGGGGCAGCGGTCCACACGGAGGGCAGGGGAAAGTGAGCCCGCAGAGACCCTCTCAGCTCTCAGAGATAACCTGGTCTCTGGTTACGAGGGGACCTGGAGCAACTCCCTCTCCAGATCTCACAGACCCGCCTTGTGCAGACAAGCTCTGCCGGGGTCCACACCTGACCAGGAAAGGATTGGCCTTGGAGGAGAATGAATAAGCAGAAGCCTCTCTGCCAGTCAAGACCTTTTTAGCACTTTCCACAAGGAAATTGTTGCCCAGGCAGCCCCTCCTGCTAGTAGAGTGTGTGTGTGTGTGTGTGTGTGTGTGTGTGTGTGTGTGCACGGGCACACATGCCTGTGTACACTTGCTGAACTGCGACTGGGCTGGAACATCCCTGGGTCTTACCATGTGGCTTGCAGGTAAGGCTATAGTTTGGAGTTGGCCCTGGGCCAGATGCTGGAATCTCCACAGAGACATTTAACTCCTTCGAGCCTCAGCTTCCTCATCTATAAATGGGCACAGTAACAGTTCCTACCGTATAGATTGTTCGGAGGGTTAAATGAGGGAATGTGTGTTGGGCATTTAGCATAGTTGCTGGGGCATAGATTGTGCTCGATGAATGCTGGCAAGTGTGGCTTTTGCTGCTGCTGTCACTGTCATCCTCATCATCACCATTCAAGTTAACATCTTGATTTCTAGAATCCAGCCTTTAGGTGATCTATTTCTTTAGTCTGCTATAAAAAAGCACTGCCTGGCTTTCCCACTCCTGCTCCCCACACCCCCAGCACCTTACAGAGGCAGTTGGGAGAAGTTTTAGTCCAGGAACATCTTGGACATTTGGGGTACAGGATAAGGACAACAGATGTGGGGTGGCTGTGGGTGC